CTATCTATCTATCTATCTATCTATCTATCTATCTATCTATCTACATACATACATACACATACATATACACATACACATACACATACACATACACGCAATCCTGTTGATGTTAAAATACTGTATTTTGTTAATTCAGGGTACTCTTCTCAAAGGTGATTTCCTCTAGAAATATATTCCAATTCCAGACACTTCTAAAGGAGAAGTTACTTGGAGAAAAACTTCCAAAGACTGATATAATGGTCAAAGAGATCTATGGGAGGAAAATGCAGTTTTTCTCCACAACTAGCAAGCATGAAGATAAGCCACAATATACTTATGAAAGAAGCCTGCAGGGAAAACAATCTGAATTTCCTTAGAAAAATATTTCAGTCCCTTTTTAAATTATTATTAAAGCAAAGTAATGCCACTGAAATACAAATAACCAAAGTCAAAATCCATGCAGATATCAATACAAAATGTTTGGAGTAAAGTGACTGCTTAGATAAGTAAATCTTACAGGCATAATATGGGGCTGATCTCTCTGGAAACAAAACTGGCCTCTGTGATATGCAGGGTTTATATGGATAAGGCTGGCATGCCATCTGAGTCTTCCTGAGCAGAAGCAGCTGATCAGCCAATGGTCATACTAGCTAGGGACTGTGAGAACAAAAGTCTAACATATCTAGCAGAACCAGATTGGGTGTAGGTTGTCTTAGAATCTATAAAAATATGCAAGTTTTCAAATTATCTAGAATACAGGTAGTCCCCAGTTTAAGAATGAGTTCCATTCCCAAAGTCTGTCCTTAAGTCAAATGTGTATGTAAGCCAGAACAGTAACATTGTATAATACTGTATTAAGTAGTATTGTGTAATGAACTCAAACATTGGGCATTTAATTTGAATCACTGTGTATTTAACTCGGATTTTGCTACAATAGGCTCTGTTCTTAACTTTCTCTTTCATCTTTAAACCGAGTGTTCTTAGGGACTACCTGTGCTTCATCAGGCAAAGATGATGAATCAAGTGCTGCTTACCTGATTTATCTAGCACTAGTTCACAATGACTTTGCTAGGTCTGCTACCAATATCACATGTCTTCCACTGGAGATGTTAGGGACTGAGTATAATGGCCTGGTTTACAAATAATGCTAAATCATAAATTATAGTTTGCAAGCCATAATGCTGGGCACAAACATTGTACTAAATCAAAACCAAATCACTTTATGGTTTAATGCATATATGAGCCTAACTTCTGCAAAGGAATTGTAATGATGCTGATCTGTAGTATCACCATACCTAACAGGCTTAAAACAATAGAAAAAAAGCACACTGAATCGGTACACATATAATAGGAAACTCTGGGTAGTACAGTAAGAAGCTAAGGGATCATACATTTCTTCTTCCCCTTCTGTGCTACATTTATCTTCATCCTTTTCTGGTTTGAAATAAACCAGGAAAATCAGGATTAACCCCTAGTTTTCCAGAAAAATAAAACTACAGTTTGCTTGTTAAGATGAAATTATAACTATTGTTTGCCTCAAATCAGGTTCAGCAGAAAGGAATCAAAGTGTGTGATTTGGTGTTTGAGCCATCCTATCTGAGCATACCAGCATCAGAATACTATCTCACAAAGCCTCATAATGGTCAACCTCTTTCCCTTCAAGAACCCCTTCCATGGTAACTTGTCAACTGAGGAAACTGCATATTGCAGAGGATTTTTAAACGTGTTAAAATATGCATGTACTTTACATGGGCACTAGCAAGCTTTTGCATTTTGCTATCATCCCCTCACAAATTTTATATGCCTTAACTATGAAGCAGTTTTAGCACTGCACATTGCAGAAGAAGATGAATAAACTGGACAAGAAATTGCTTTCCTGAAAACCCCAATCAGCTTCACAGGGGCTTGTAAGAGACAGACAACCTAATGAGGTGTGCTGTTCTGAGGTTCCCAGGTCCAGCACTATCCAAATGCATTAAATGAAAACCTTCATCCTTGAGCAGCTTTTCCAGAAAAGCCTTGTCAACATAGAGCTCTCCCAGGAGCTGCCGTTCCATCTTCTCATTCCTCACAGGTGCCTGTTGTTTACTTTGGTACTTTGCATCCTTTTTGATGTGGAGCTTCTGTTTTGCTCTTTTACTCTGTCATAAAAAAGAAAAACAAACTTTACAAGGTCAATTTTTTTTAAAATTTCTCCTTTCTCTGCAGCACTATTTTTTGAGAAAGGAAGAACAAGGAGCCCTGGAAAATAGCAAGGCTGTCTCTCAAATTGAATAGCTCCAGCAGCATAGATTAAAGCAAACTGAAAATTTCAGATTGAAAAGGAAAGAGGGTTTCCAGAACTTGAGAGGTTTGGGATAATATGATTAAAAACTCAAAAACTATACCAATCTATGCTCTCATGCAGCATGGAGATTCAGAGTACGAATTGTGAGCAGGGAAGTCCTTATCTTATTCATCTATTACTTCACTATGCAACTTGCTCCAAAACACCCATTTTAAGGAGATAATGATACTCCCCTATCTTAGGAAGTTTTTTCTGGATGCTTAGGTAATGTATATGAAGCTATTTAGTTTGGAGAAACAGTTGACAAGAATAAAAAGAAATAGATAAATATTTGGTACTTTCAAAATCCTACTTAAATGAAGGGAATTTAAGAATGTAGTTGGGACTTAATTCACAGTCTAGGCAAAGTGAAGGGCTTTTAAAGTGTGATTATTATTCTCGTGGCCTTCTGTTCTGACATTGTTGTGTTCTCCGTGATGCCTTCTCTGTTTTTTTCCCCATCAAAATATTGTATGAATAATGGAATATTATATATTTCAGATCAGGTATAGGCAATACAGTATCATGGACACTAGTGCACCCCAGCACCATCATTAGAGCCCAACACTTAGGAAATTGTTTCCTAGGAGATCAAGTAGCTCAGGAAGAATAACTGATCAAATATTGTATTGTGCAGAAACAAGTAATTAGTTATTTTAATTATGTTTTTTTTTAATTTCCCACCCTCCTTGATACAATATTCATAGTATAAACTATCTACAAATGGATAGGATGGAAGCAGCCTTCAGGGGAATGGAGATATTGCCTATGGAATAAGATTCATTTTCACTACTGGTCGCACATATTTTGGTGCAAGAAAAAGGCCAATGAACTGCAAACCGCACCATCCTCATTATCTAAGTTGCCCCAGTGCCTTGAAACCCATTCCATTGTCTCTGTTTACTCCTAAAGTAGGCACCAGACAATCACTTTGGAAAAAGCTGGAGAGATCATACCTCTGCCTGGCGACTCAGAAAGTAGAGGTCCGCTCTATTCTCCAGTTTCACGGAAGATGGGCCTACAAATAGAGAAGGTACCAGCCAAGAGGTCAGGAAGACCCTACAAACCACCTACTGCAAATAGCAGGAGGCAAAATGTGAGAAAGAAAGCATACAAACCTCATAAAGAAAAACATTTCAACCCTCTGATAATTTTATTTCCCCTTTTTCAATGTTCTTATTTTTCTTGAAATAACATGGTTTAGAATATCACAAAATATTTCAAGTGTGGATGAGCCACAGTTTTGTATAATGGCATATTATATTTTATTTCCCCAAGGTATTTTCCCCAAGGTATCACTGTTACCTTATCTGAATAGAGAGCCAGTGTGGTGCAATGCAATGTTGAACTAGGACCAAAAAGACCCTGCTTGAAGTCCACCATCCACCATAGAAACTCAGTGGGTATTTTAGGTCAATCACTGTCTCTCAGTGCAAATTATTCAAAAGATTGTTACTTTAGGGAAAAACGTGAAGAGGGAATACTATGTATGGCCCCTTGAGTTCTTGAAAGAAAGGCAATCTAACAAATACATTGAGGATAGACCCTGAATCTTTTTCAGAAGGATTTTGAAAATATCTTGTTTCTTTCCATTAGAAATATGGGAAATAATAATGAGATGGGCTATAAAAAACTTCCAATTGCAAAAGTTCTTCTGGAAGGCTTACATACATTTAATTAATAGTTTATTTGGGTTAGTAATAAATACAAATAAAAAAGAACAAAAAGGATTCTTTGGTTTATTTCCTTTTTGCAGAAGTGAAGACCATGTATTATATAAAGTCCTCACACAACACATTGCTTGACTGTTTTGGGTATTTTTTTCTTCATACGTTTTCTACCAAACTCAAGTCCAGATAATGCCTGCCAGATAAAATAAAATAACCTCATATCCAAAGAAAATCATATTGCTTACTTCCAACTGAATTTTCAATTGCTTCCTTGGACTTCTGAATGCCTAGCCTGAATTTCTGCAACTCAGGGCGGAGCTTGTGCCCCCGATGATAGAAGACCAAAGCAAATTCAAAATCGCCCATGGTGTACAAGGCTTCTGCTTTTTGATACAGTCCCTGTAACAGAAAGGAAAACTATTGGACTGAGAAAAGAACAATTGTGTTATATATTGTATATGCAAGTGAACAGCATGTACCTATATTTGTCTCAGCATCTGATAATTTGCCAGATGTGACCAATCGGAAGAATCTGAGCATGATCCAGGAATCTTTCCCCTCCTCCATTCCCAACTTTATACTGTTTTATTTAATTAGTTCTTTTTAAGAAACCATCCTCCAATTTATCCCTTTTCACTTTTAACTTGCATTGCTTTCAGTATGATTTTCTAACCTGGTAATTTATTGTTTTTTTCTGAACTGGGAAAAAAACATAACTTCCTTCCAACAACAACAACCTAGATATCCAATGATAAATTTTTAAACCTCTTAGGTTTGGAACAGGTATCTCTGTTTACCTTAGTAAATTCTTTGTCAGTAGCCAGAGAGGCTTCTGCATCCTTCAGGGCATTTTCTGTATCTCCAAGTCTCAAGTAGCATTTTGAACGAGCAACAAGGCAGTTCCTGTTACCAGGTTGAAGCTGTAAGGCCTAACACATAACAACAATTGTTTTCAACTTCCTTCATATTATCTCTGGTGAAAACAGGGATATGTTTCTTATATCTATATTCTATGATATCATTTGTAAGCTGCACTCTGTTATTACATATTGCTAAACTCGGGATGTTATGATAATTTAATCTGCAGTATTTACCCTTTCATATGGCTTACGTACCATACCCTTTACAGTGGGGCAAAAAAGTATTTAGTCAGCCACCAATTGTGCAAGTTCTCCCACTTAAAAAGATGAGAGAGGCCTGTAATTTTCATCATAGGTATACCTCAACTAGAAAAAAAAATCCAGAAAATCAGAAAAACATTGTCTGATTTTTAAAGAATTTATTTGCAAATCATGGTGGAAAATAAGTATTTGGTCACCTACAAACAAGCAAGATGTCTGGCTCTCACAGACCTGTAA